AACCCGAGACCCCAGGATTACAAGGCCAGCGTTCTGACCGCTAGAACACCGTGGCTAGTTAAGTGAGATACCGAAAGTTAATGCAATACATCGGAAACAGCCCAATTGGAAGATGATGATAAGTTATTTAATCGCAATACACAGCGTTCAGCGGAAAATACGATGGCACCCGAAAATGATCAATTAGGTCGAAACGAATTGTAAAGTTTCATACTTTAAAACTGGATGACGATGATGGTAAGATATGTATGCAAAAATCATATAACATAAGAAATGAAACGGTAGGTAATATACTTAAGAAAACTATAAAACATGGGGTACATGACTATAAAGAGTGAATATTCTTCGCCTTCGATATGATGTCATGCAGTCCCGCACAACATAGTCTTCTGTGCTGGTCTTCCTACAGGCGCTTGGTATGGAAATGTAGTATTACCTCAATGTACGTACGAGGTGCGATCGAAAGGTTTCCAGACTGCGCGTATAAAAACCCGTACACTTATCTCAGGTATTAGATTCATCCATCACCCTCGAAGTAGTTCCCCTGGGAGTGAACACAACGATCCCAGCGCCGCTGCCAAGCCTGGAAGCATCCCTGGAAATCTTTCTTTGTCACTCCCAGGGGAACTACTTCGAGGGTGATGGATGAATCTAATACCTGAGATAAGTGTACGGGATTTTATACGCGCAGTCTTGAAACTTTCCGATCGCACCTCGTATATGTATTATTCATAAAATGGTGGGGAGTTGAGGGGGGGAAAGATAAAATTGTTCCTTGTAGCTGTGTTTTGAGACCCCCAGCATACAAAAATAAAGCAGATTTGCGATATAAAGTTTGTGAATATGTGAAATGTAGTCAGATGACTCAGGAGTGATGCGAGGTTTAGCAATTTTAAGACTTCTCCTCCAGTGGCTACATCAGAATTGTTAATCATCGTAAAATATTTGGTGCAGAGCCTGAAATGTTACGTGCCCTCTTCTGTTATTACGCGGTCTCTCATCGGGGCTTTGCGTTATGTAGTAAGCTGTGACCTCACGTGTAACTCACCGGGTAAACACTCAGCACAAACGCGGAGTGCGTCTTGACTAGAGGAGGCGCGTTCTTCATGATGTGATGCAGGGTGTCTACATATAGGAGCAATATGAACAGGACAGACGCACCGCCTACTGTAAACAGCGTGATGCCTAACACATTGATCGCTGAAACAAGCACATCCATTAGAAGTCATTCCTCAGAGTTCAGTGGTCCAGTGACACCGTGAAGACGTATGGGAGGGCGGAGGTTAAACTCCACGCATTCTCGATATCAGCTTCGGTGGTCAGTTTCAAACCCGGTACTAAAGAAACAATCTGATTTACTGAGAACAACATCAAATGAACCTGAAAACCATAAAAAATGTAATAAATAAAATTTGCTGTCGCATTTGCACTCCGTCATATTTTGGGAACTAGAAACTGCCTGCAGAATATCGTGTATCAATTATGATAATGAAATTCATGTACATATAAGATTTGAGTTTTTCACGGTGGTGAGGATGATGATGATGTCCTGGGTTTTAGCGCCGTATAGACTATTCTATAGATGCCAACGTTTCGGAGATATATATTGCCTCCATCGTCAAGGCTTAAATTTTTTTTAAAAAAAAATTGGTACATTTAAGTTCATTCCCTGACAGTTACTTAACTCGCTTCAGAATACTCCCCACTCCACCCCCTCCCCACAAGCTGGCTCTCAACTTTCCTCCGCCCGCTAATGCGGTGTTGTATATCTTTCAGGAGCCGCGTCTTACCCGATTCCTCCATTCTCCGTAGTCCGTGGACTTCGCTTCAGCTACGTCTTGATTCACGTTTCATGTTGAACTAACACGTGGAGCCGTTCCTTTGAGATTTACAACTAACACCACCCGAGACCGCGGATTAACTAATGCGACGACGATTATGTGATCGCGCCTTGAACACGCAAATTTCCCGACTGGCAACTTCGCGTCGAACGGTTGGACCGCTGAGAATATTTCCGGTGTGTCGTAATGCAAACACGAAATGTGATCTGCTAAGCAACCAACGGAGAAACTGACACACACACACACAGAATATCCCGATACAAAAAATAATTCACTTGTTGACAAGTTCTTTTTCTTTAATCTAAATAACTTTCATTTTGACTGCAAATAATATTCTAATAAAAATCTAAATTTACAACGCTTGAAAGACATATGAAGGATGTCTGTTAGTAGGCGTTTATAACACAAAATGTAGGTTAAGGCGAGAATCATTAATTCCTTCCCGCATGCAGTCACAACATAAGGCCATAAGCTAACAATGAATTAATCAAAAACTATTTATAGTAAACGCATTATCAAAACGGTAATTACAAAATAATTAAATATGTGTAGACTATCCATGTAGATCTTTCTCCTTTGTGTTCTACAAAAATTTAGGAACATGCTATTGTAGTTTGTAGCTTAAATGCGTCATGTTTGTGTTGATTAAATATATATTTTTTAAAATAAATAAAATAAATATACAAATAAAAATAAATACAAATAAATATATGCTATTGTAGATCAAATATGAATTATTCTTATGTAAAATCTTCTCTTCAAGAAATTGTCCTTGTTTATGACACACAATGAAAATGGTAAGATTCAGTACAGGAAGTTACACTTTTCTTTAAATAATTTATGGATTACGTAAACCATATTCTGTCGATACGAATTAAAATTAAAACGGAACATTTTATTTGCTTTCGAACTTAGAAACCTCCATACAAGGTGCGACACAAGTAGGTTACAAGGGCAGCTGATTACAAGAGTCAACACTAATTTTAATTATGGTTCGCTGTACAGACACGTTTTAATAATTTCATGATTAGTGTCATTAAAACAGTCTAACCCTTTAAAGTTGAAGCTCGTCTGAATAATATTAAAAAATCCAGTCCGTACCGCGAAGAAAACACAGCACTTCACCATTACAAAGATCAACTGGTTAACTCTTTGAAGTCAAAGCTCGTCTAAATATTACGTATTTAAGAATTCAGTCCGTACCGCGAAGAAAACACTACTCTTCACCATTACAAAGATCAAATGTTTAACGCTGTTTAAGGAAATAATCGCTGTTTATTACGAGAATAAAACGAAACACACAGATACATTTTGTGGACAAAGCTCAGAGATACTTGATATTAAAGTATGTGGTATATATATTTACCACTCGGCATTAAACTGTAGCCGTGAAATCTAGAGATTAATTACAAGTCAACACACGAGCCAGAAACTGGCGCTGAAATGAGGGCGCCAATTTCCGCTAGAAATTATTGTCAGGTCACGTAAGTTTTCCTGTACAGAAAGTGAGTTCCAAGCTCATGCACCTTGGACACAATGAATAGATTATGCTTGACATTGTCTACTCTGGTATATTTTATAAACATTCAATAATTTTAAAACAAAATACTTAAAAGAATGTTTGTAAAAACAGGAAATCAAAGCACGAGTTAGCTTCAGGGCGGTTAAATTCAACAGTGGCACTGAGACATTTATGAAAATTAAAACAGTAGTAATTATACGTATCACCTGCTTTGACATTAAATAACTCTGCATTTCTTAACACGATGTATTTTGTGGCTTTCTTAGTTTTTTTTTTTCAGAATAAACAGCTACTATTTCAGAAAACTGCGTACTCACAGTTCAAAGCAATAAAATGTAATCCTAGTTTTTCACCCACGACAGATTCATAATAAGTTAAATAACATTTAAAACGTCGCTTTTAAAATAAAGTTCTGTGTCGCAAAGTGTGTCTTGTTGAACAACGCAAACTCTAGACAACGAGAGTTATCTTGTTTTAACACCAATATCACGCCAAACTTCGAAACCAAGTGGTTAGCATTCCCGCTTCCACAAATTCAAATTTCAACCCGGAGACCGAGACTGACAAGTTTCATGATTAAATATGATTTCCTGTTATCATAAAAAATCTTCCGTGTTGGTCGGTTATCATTTCCTGACGTTGAAGTATTTTCGACCTTGCGTGAAATGATTTATAAACATTTATGTCGTTATAACCGTTGTCACGGTAATGCTATTAAAGGAGAATTACTAAGTATATTTATTATAACCTCACTTTTAGACTGTGTCTGAGATTACAGTACATCAGTCGTATTATATTAATTAATTCTGCGAAGATTAGTAATAATTTTGATTTATGCGTGTTGCATAAAATATAATTTTCAAAGTATTGCCTTAGATTGTCCCGTCATTGTCGAAGGGCAATTGTCAAATTTTAATAAACTGTCACGAAGTTTGAATGAACTGTCCTTAGTTATAACCTGGCGGACCGCGAGTGGAAAATAAAGGTTAATAAATACCGCCCTGCCCTGAAGATGTCACCTGGAGTCAACCGACGAATTCTGCAGTTACGTGCGTACGTATGTCTTAACACGGAACATGAATGACGAGAAAGTGAAAGTATTGTACTTCGCAGTGTTACAGCACCTTCTTCCGCCAGTGAATAAGGCGATTGGAGAGAAAGTTGGGTTAGGCTAACACGGCGGTATAACGCAGCCATTTACATCAAAAGACTCGCACAAAGAGAAAGCTCTGATAAAATAAAACGTGGCAAGTTCTCTGACGTAATGACTAACGTTAGTGTTTTGTCTTTACAGCCTCTGTAAAATAAAAAATGCAAACATGAGTTTGAACGTCGGCTCCAGTCTTCAAAAGGCGTATTGGGGAAGTGAAGTAAACCTCCATGAATACGTTAGAATCGTTTTCAATAAATTGAATATCATTAATTCATTCGATTTCAAAAATGATTTGTAGGTCTTACCGAGGCCCACGGAGGTTACTTTAGAAACTTAGTTACTACCTGATGACAACTTTTGCAGATTTATCAATTAGCTTCTGTTAATCAGTTTCGGATTTTGTTTCTGTTTTGGTCCTTTGGCCTGAGGGCCTGGAGACGTCTAGAACGATCTTAAATCCCTTTTGCTCGAATATTGCCAAAATATTATTTCAGTCCGTACCGCGAAGAAAACACAACACTTCATCATTACAAAGATCAGCTGGTTAACGCTGTTTAAGGAAATAATACGACTAAAACGCTAATTAACCTTTGGAGCCGAAGCTCTTTCAAATGAAACTTAAGAATTCAGTCCGTACCGCGAAGAAAACACTACACTCCACCATTACAAAGATCAACTGGTTAACCTTGTTTAAGGAAATAATCGCTGCTTTCGGCTCCTGTTCCTCTCAACACAACTTGCACTACGTTTGTGTTGCGTGCAGTCTAACCTAACGCCTTCCAGAAAGGTTTCACAGAAAACTGAAGCCCACATTTCGTCATCCTACAATTTTGCCCAGCTGTTATCCTCGGCATCGAACATCCAAATCCTTGTATTTGTGCCCCACTGGACCTCGCGGGTTACCACGTCATCACAAACCCCCCTCCCCCCCCACAAATGCCAGGGGACAGCCTTAAACTGGGCCAAGACTACTTCCTTTCAGATCCCCTCCCATTCACTAATCGTCCTACCATTCGACATCGTCATAAAATAAACCACGAGAACGTAAAATTCGCGTTCCAGCCGTCTTAACCCCACGTGTTACTTTGTTACAAAACTGTCAGAATCTACGGACGGAAAATTTGTTTGTTTCGTCAAGGCTGGAACTTCCTTCTGGATCATGAAGGACGATGAGCGCACTCACTATCCTGCAAATCCGCGTAGAGAGGCTGAGTAAAACCAAGAGACGTCACTCGGCGTACATCGTGCCCCCCCCCCCCCC